ATTGTCATCATTGCATCTGATGGATATTGCTCACCTCGCACCAATAATGTTAGTTTTCTCCTTCAAGACTTGCTACCAGCTGGTTTCGTACATATGTTTGTAAACAAACGAAATCCATCACCAAGGAATACGTTGAATTTTTTTTGGGATCAATTCTTACAACAACCCATGTACTTTTGTGTTTGTGTTATTTGTTTTGCACAATTTTTGAATGGTCTCGCTTTGCATCATCAATTGTGAACTTTTGTTTCAATTACGTCCATTTGATTACAACTCTTTACTGTTTTCTATCAGAAAATATGCATATACGTGGCAACTGTACTTTTTGTTGTAGTCAACTTATAACTTTACTGAACTTACATAATCTCAATCAATTGACATTACAATATTTGTTATAAAAATCACAAACGGCATTAGCAATTTGACCAAAATTGTCCAAGAAATTTAAAATGGAGTGTCAGAATTGAGGGAGTTTAAAGTGCATTGATTCAAATTAGACAACGGACAAAATGTGTACACCACCCTGTAATTTTCCCTTCAATCTAATTTGTATGATTTGCCCTTTCATAAAGGGGAAGGAAAAGATTGAAGACAATTGTCGAACAACATATCCAAATGTCTGATACTATCGCTGGCTCTTGTCGAAAGCAGCCAGTTGCACCATTCATTTGTTACAGGTACTAGTTGTTCATTTTGATAATTTGGAATTACATTTTTTGTAGTGAAACTACGCGCCTTGTCAAAGTTTAGTTTGTGATGTTTGAAATTGGTTTCGTTCCGCATGTCTGAAAATGTTTAAATTGGTGTCAATTTAGTCCCGGATGTACGAAAGGTGTGTTATGCTGATTTTGGGGCCAGCTTGACATAAATACTTGCATATATATATATATATATATATGTATTCATATTCAAGATTTAGTGATGATAAGCTTCACGATGCTTGCATGCAGCCAGCAACAATTGAAGAAAATGCAAGGGCTAGACAAAACTCGACGAAAAATGGTGAGTGTCGAAATCTGTATTCTCTATAATACACTATGATGGAAACACATGGCTGGGTTGCTATCCACACATTGTATTGAATGGTCGTAGTGGGCTTGTGATTGTTTCACGTTTGTAGGATTGTAGCATGTAATAATGTCACCGTCCTATTGTTTTTGTAAATTTCAATTCGTTGTAAAAGTCCAGCTACGTTTTGTCACTGACTTTTTCCTGCAACTGTTATTTGTATTTGTAATCTTATTTAATTACCACCAATGCACGCGGATTGCGTTTGGCATAAAGTTGTAGTTACAGTTATTTTGGACTCATAGTTGTTACTTGTCTTGTACGTCTGTCACTTTCGTGGTTAAAGAGTAGAAAGGAGCTTGGGGAAAGGTGGAAGGCACTCCCCTCTGATGAGAAAAAGAGGTTTGCGGAAATGGCTAAGGCAAGCGCCGAGGAACACGCCAAAGTAGTACCATGTGCACCGAAGTCTGAAAAGGTCATTACGTACTTTATGTTTTCATAAATGCATTTGGCTAGGTCTTGCTTTGCTGACATTGTTGGTTGTATTTTTGTATTAATTTAAGGGTAAAAAATGTGCAGGGTAAAAGGCAACTCTGCATATCATTGAAGTCAATTGTTGAGCTAGTTAACCAGTTTAACAAAGCAGAAAAGCAGGCAGTCATTGACATTGGGTTTGCTGGCCTCTTGGGGATGAAGTGTACACGTATAGATCACGACTTGTGCATATGGTTGGCACAGAACTTTGATCCTGACAGTAGTTCATTAAATGTTCATGGTCGTCAACTCAGGCTCACCCGTAAGGCAGTTAATGTTTTATTGGGAATACGGTGTGAAGGCGATGACGTGCAGTTGGCTGGGTCATTAGAAGCATATCCCAATATCTACGATGAGGTTGGAGTTGTTAACGGAGTCATTCCTTTGAACAAGTTGAGACTTTATCTAACCAAGACTGATGGTGCGGAGGACAAGTTTCAGAGGAAATTTGCACTGTACGTCTTTGGGGGCCATGTTGTGTCGCCTTGAAGCCATCGTTCATTCATGCCGTGAAGGATGTGAATGGTATGCGAGCTTGTAATTGGGCAAAGTTGACACTGCAATTCCTTCACAACGATGTTCGCAAGTATAAGAGTAAAGGTCATCGTGGTGCAACTGGATGTGTTTTCCTACTAATGGTATGCCAATACCTCGATTGTTTTTTTCCATTCCCCCGTTCATATGTTTCATGCATTGTTCTGTCATGGTTCAACAAATTGGCCTTGATTGGGACATACAATGTTACCTGCTTTGTGAGTACGACAAATAACACTCTTCCTGACCAAGTATGGTACTTGCAGAAATATATTTTCTGCGACTACCATCATGAATTTAAGAACAAAGAGTACAGGGCAAAAAGTATGACGGACCTCAATGGAGGAACCAATTTGCCTACGTTGCGATGAGGGGAACATAATTGATTAATCTTCATCGGTTTGGAATAATCAATCAGACACAGAATGACACAGGAAATATTATACACATTTATAGGCAGAGTTGAAGAAGAATATACAGAAGAAACCTTGATAGGACCATTACCAAACCAAACGTATTGATTCTGGAATAGGTCTTTTGGGTTGCAGCCATTCATATATACAAACATGTACATAACTTTTTTTTCTTCATTTCATCAATAAAGTCCTTGGTTTGTTGTACATTTTTTTCCCCAAAAAACATTGCATGATATGTGGCCATAAAGTTGACAACATCGTAAACAAAATCGGTATTCTATGTACGTTCTGCTGCAAAATTGAGAAGAATGAATGTCATTGTTACTGAATACAGTTGATTTTTGTGGGAAGAATAAATTAATTATGGTGTGCCCCTTAATGTCCATAGCTATTGTACCTTGATTGTGTTTGTCTGAGCTCGACAAGTACGTCGGCTACAACGCGGTCCACGCCTCGGCTTCATGATTGGGGTGATACCCAAATACGGGAGACGCTGCGACGTATCAGAAGGAAGCAAAATTTCCCAACAATTGTAGTAAGCACTCCAACCACTGTGCACATTTCACACCATCGACCCACTTGTCTTCAACATACAATGTCAGACTTCATTTATGCGTTTCTATGATTAGGTGGAGTTTGATTACAGTAATGATGAAAGTGACGCCAATGATGCTGACATGGATGCATGCCATGTCGAGAACCAACAAAAATGACAGTACGATGAAGTCCGTATGAGCAATTTAGAGTCCGACATTCGCGAACTGAAGGAAATGATGAAGCAAGTTCTCCACAACCAAACAGATTTAATGGAGATGTTGTGACATTTCCAAGGCAAACAAGTTGTTAACAATGATAAGGTAATCTATCCAATCATTACACAATTTTGACACAGTTGAGCCATATCATTTGAAGACGATTTATAAGACTAAGTTCACGAATGTGTTTGTATGATTAGGTGGAAGGCAATGATGTGTGTATCATTAACCTCTCCTTTAATGTTGCTGAACTGAAGGAAATGCTGAAGCAACTGCTTCAACGTTTCAGTTTGGGCTGCAACGAACTGTTCACTGAACAAACCAATTTAGGTGAACTGAAGCGAATGCTACACCACCTTATCGAAGGTATATTCTCTAGACCACAAGCGGTAGGCATGGACAAACAGGGTACAGACCCTGCTATTAGAGTCGAGGCGCATAACGATGGCGTGGTCAAACCATCTGACGAAGTTAACCCAATGAAGTGTAATATTTCAGATGTATAAGGGGTGGATCACCAACAAGAGAATTTGAAGGGAACCTTGGCAAAGGACAAAAGTCATTTCCATGATGGGCACAAGCTGAACATCAAAGAAGGTGGGGACAACCAGAAGAAGTGAGGCTTTTAGTCGGGGGAAACATAGGAAACTGAAGATAAATACACTCCTGACCTTCAGTCAGTGGGCGTCAAGAATGTGGCGTGCGATGTGCATACTTCTCCTACTAAGCTTGGCCCACCATTGGGAGCAACTGGAATCGTTAGAGGAAGTGCAAAGGGAAGAGGAAGAGGAAAACGAAAAGGAAAAAGAAAAAGAAAAGGAAAAATGCGGGGAAGTGGAGTTCAAGCCACTGAGGTCGGGGATATGCAATTGTGCATCGATAGCAAAACAAATAGTGGAGTTGACGCCATTAGTTCACTTGTGGATGTTGATGGTGTGAATAAGGTGAACAAGGTACAAATACTGCCTTTAATGCTCCACAAGTTTTGAATACCCAATTCATGCCCACATCAATAATGTGAATCACTAATTTTACAATCATCTGTGTTGTATTGTACTAGTTGTCAAACAATTACATGTTTGCAGTTATGACTGCTGGCATATGTTTGTACACATTTCTAACAAACTCCGCACCAAACATCACAAGTTAGGAAAACTCTGAGGTTCACAGTTTATACATCATTTCACGTTCTTTTTTATGACTACCGACCTTGTAATGTAAGCTTCAATTTTTTTTATGAAATGTGTAGTGTTAGTTGGCTGTTTATTTTTGTAGGACTCGTTGAGGATGTTGGACAGCGAAGGGTTGTTATCAGCGGAAGAACAAAAACTTCTCGACTATATATTTGACGATAGCAAAAATGAAATGTATTGTTTCATTTAGTACCTGCAAATTTTAAATGACAGTCCACTGTGAAATAACTATCGTTCTAAGGATCATTATTGCTTGTAGGGACATTGTTCTTTCCATGAATCTTCATGGACGGGCATGTGAAGTTGGTACCTGGCGTGACATGCGCACGCTCAAACCAGGGTCGTGGCTATCCGACACTATAAGTGTTGGCTGCACACATATGAATCTGCGTTTTTCAGTACCCCTGAACTCAAAAACCTTGAGGAGCTCATGAACAATAACATTCACAGGGGAAGAGGCAATCGGTGAGGGATGTTACCACGGATAGCTTCATACTGAGGAGAGAGAACTATTAAGATCTATACTAAACGACCTTGCTCCTGAAACTCAACATTATTAGTATATAATGTATATAGCGATCGATGGTCAAACGAGGGCGCCGAAACACCATAGCGAGAGAGAGAGAGAGAGAGAGAGCAGATAGCGATCGATAGTCAAAGGAGAGGGCCGAAACACCATAGCGAGAGAGAGAGAGAGAGAGAGAGCAGATAGTGATCGATAGTCAAAGGAGAGGGCCGAAACACCATAGCGAGAGAGAGAGAGAGGGAGACGACACAGACGACGCGGACGAAACGAAGAAAGAACAAGAAAAATGAAGAAAAACAGAAGAAAAGAAGAAAATCAAAGAAGAGATTTGAAGAATCGAAGAACATACCTAATCTAGGGCTCCATTTCAACAAGTTCTTCACCTTCTCTCTCTCTCTCTCTATGCAACAGGTTAGGGTTTCTCTCCTGCTCTTTCCATAATGTGTCCATAGTGTGTCCAACAGTGTCCAAACGAGTGTCCGGCTGCAAAAATTCAAAAAAAAAAAAAAGGGACACGTTAGGTCGAGTGTTGGACACGTGTCTACCGCGTGTCCGACGCGTGTCCATGTCCGACACGTGTCCAACACCCATACGCTGCCTCTAGAGACGTGTCCGTGCTTCATAGCTTCTAATCTTAGTACACTTACATGGCCAAGGAGGTTAAAGCTGTGACCTAGATGATAAAAACCTCTGTTTTTCTTCCCACTCACAATCTCTAGCACTAAAATGCCAAAGCTAAATACATCTGATTTTATTGAAAATAGCCCATCTATTGCATACTCTTGAGACATGTAACCGCTACAACAAAACACAGAATGAAGAACTGGATTTTGAAGAATAACTGAACTAGAAAAAACAAGTTATAGAGATTCTTACTATGTTCCAACCACTCTTTTTGTATTTACTTTTGTCTCATTTCCTCCAAAACTTCTAGCTAATCCAAAATCTGATATTTTTGGGTTCATGTCAATATCTAGCAAAATATTGCTAGCTTTGAGATCTCTGTGAATAATTCTTAGCCTGGAATCTTGATGGAGATAAAGAAACCCCCGTGCAGTCCCATTAATAATGTGGAAGCGCTTCGGCCAATCCAGTAGCAAGCTTCTGGTTTGATCTGACCAAAATTTTGCCAGATTTAGTCCATGCAGCTAATTGGATGCATGAATTTAACAGGATTCCACAATGAAAAATCAAAATTTTGGAAACTAAGTTCATGCAAATGCACATGTAATAAAAACCAAATATAATTTTGTTCCCATTATCAAATATATCAAAAGCTTTACATGAAGCCAAAATAGAAAAAAGAAAGAGAGTTTGTTGGCTGGTCTGAGAGTGGAATCGTTGTGGTATATATAGAAATGTAGTTTCAAGAGAGCCAAACCAAATATAAAATAGTCCAAGCTTTTGTTAGGCATGTATTCATAGATCAACATTGTTTCTTCTCCTTGAATGTAGCATCCTAGAAGCCTCAGGAGATTTTGGTGTTGAAGTATGGCAATACAAATAACTTCCTTCTTGAACTCATCAAGTCCTTGGCTAGAATTCTTTGATAACCGCTTCACAGCTATTTCTTGTCCTCCTTCCAATATACCCTGAGAATTACCATTATAATTGATGGAATGTTGTTCTATTAGAATTACATTGAAAGAAAACACATTTTTTTCCTTCTTTTTTTCTCGATTCATTTTATTCATATCTTTTACTTACTATTTTTATGTTGCTCTGGTAGACATTGTTTTAATAGGTGCAGCCATGACAAATTAATGATTTATGTTACAACTACTTGAAGACATAATTACACAGATTTATGGAGTTTCCTATGTGAGAAAAGATGCATCGAACCAATTGTCTTGTTTGGAAGCTGAAAAAAAATATATATAAAATTACTCTTCTCAAAAGCAGGTGTATATATAAAATTTTTACAATCGGAATGGTGGGTTCTGTATTAAAAGGTTTTACAGAACAGTAAGTGTAGGACCATAGAATTTTATCCAAAAGTTGGGGGCCGAAACACCAAGATGAATACAGTGCTGCAACCTTCAACACAACATTCTACGCACCTTTTTATGATATATATATATATAGCATTACTATTTAGGAAAAAGCAGTGATAAAAATGTTGAATGGTTTTGTGGCTTCTACATAGGCTCTATGAGAATGGGCATCGATCACATTCCTATAGACTACATAAGAGTGTCTTTACATTGTTACCTTGTAAACAGGTCCGAAACCACCCTCCCCAAGCTTGTTGTTGATTGAAAAGTTATTTGTGGAATTAACTATTACAGCTAAGTCGAACAATGGTAACTCTAGATCTTCCGTTTGGCTTTTGTCAGTGTGACCTTGTTCAGAGTTGTGCATCAGATTTCCTGCAAAGCCCGGGATGAAGGGATATCAATATGACAACTAGTTATAGGATATATATACCTTCTCTTCTCAGCTGTGAATTCTTCCTTTTCCTTTTTCGGAGATACACGATTAGGCTCATACCCAGCAGAAGAAGTCCAATTAAAAATGCCAAGGTCACTGCTACTATCTTTCTTTTCTTGCCATTTAAGCTGACTTGTTGGACTGTTGAATCATCAATCCATTTAAAAAGAAATGGTTCATTGATCAGTTAGATAATATGATCATGAAAGCACAAACTTAAAGGGATTGATCTCAATTCAAACCCTTGAAAACCTTCTATATTTTGAAATTGTTATGGCAAAAGGGATGAGAAAAGCTAAAACAGAACCAACACACAAGCACACAAAAATTTGCAGGCTAATACGGATTGAGGCTTTGCTTTTTGCACAACATTCCCCAAATGCTTGCGCAGCACAGTCTAAGGTGTGTGCCTCAGGTGCACTTTGTATGCCTTTTGCACATAATCATATGAAGAGCTTGTCTTAGGCTCTTGTTAAACCTAGTACAGTAGATTGTTTAAACATACTAAAAGAACAACCTCTTTGACAACTATATTCATAGGAAAAATCATGTTAAAAAAAAAAAAAAAAAAAGAAGCAAGGTTCAAGCACCAGTGATAAACTCGATAATTTAAATAAAGGATGTTGATTTCGCTTTCAACGCCTTGAGAAGAAACATATTTAACTTTTAATATTTTTTTTGCTACTTTAAAATATTTTATTTATTTACTAAATATAAAATTAAAATTAGAAATGCTTACACCTTGTCTCACTAGGTGTAAAACGCATCGCGTTATGGATTCAGCTTTATAAAATTTGATCATCATGAACCCTAGAACTCCGAAATAATCCAATACATACAAAAATCCAAAAATAATAAACCAGGTCAAAATAGACTCAAATACAAATACAAGCCGGAACTACTAGGAGGCTGGGCATGGGATTGAAACAGGTAATAAGAATTATCTACATTGAATTCGAGGCACACCCACAATAGAAATCAACGTTCAAGATGAAACCAAAATGAAATCTCTTTTGCTGAATTGTAGTTAGATGTAGAAATGTAATATAGTTTTTTGAGGAAAAAATGTAAATGTTCAGTAAAGTTAACTACATGGTTCTTATACATATATTCTAATTAATCTTTGTTTGAATTCTTACCTAACTCAGAGGAAGCCATCCTTATATAAATGTCTGGCCCATCTTCACTGAACTCTCTCATATCAATCAACTCACCAAACCAAAGCAAGCAACCACTTCCATCATTTACATTAGTTCTGACGGTTATACCAAAAGGAAAATTAGCAGAATTATGTCAATGTTGTAAGATTAAACTGAGCGGTCAAATTAATTTACTCAAATATAAATATATAACAAGAGAACTACTGTCAAAATCATATGCTAAAAATAAAACCCACAAAACACCCAAAAACTAGACGAAAGCAACACAAAATACTGACCTCTACATATAAACATTTTAACAATCAGATGGCAGGCATGGCACAAATTTGATGTTCACTCCTTCCTCCTACTCCGATTCCAACCATTGCAACTCTCGGCCACCACCACATCAATGCCCCAGATATCAGATTTGGATCACAAGCAAAACAATCCAAGTTTTTCATAATCTTGCATTTGTAGCAATTCCATTTCACAATAATGCTGCTGTGTTTTGAACCCTAACCGAAAATAGTGAGAGATAGTCACAAAAGACAAATATTTTTTTATTTTTCATTAAAAGTGATTAAATTTTGTGGGAAATTAAAATAATATTTTTAAAGTCGACAACATCTTTTTTATATATATATATATATATATTTATTTAATAATTAACAAATTACCACAAGCCAAGACCTGGTGATCGATGTGTACACACCAACACCCACTTTCTCCATTCTTTGGTCTTCAAACAAAAATAAAATAAAATAAAATATTTTAAACCAGTGGCCCTGAACTAGCTAGACTTCGAATTTTGTTGAGTACTCAGAGCATCCCCATCAAAGCCCCTAAACCCCTTCTTTACCTATTTTAAAGGGTAAATGGTTCCCTATCTACCCTGCATCAGATAAAAAAATTACTAATTGTTAATTTTTAGTGACAGTTTGAAAATTTTATCATAAAAAATGTCACTAATTATAAGTTTTAGCGATAGTTTAAAAAAATATCACAAAAGAACGTCACTAATTTACAACTTTCAACGATAGTTTGAAAAATTCGTTACAGAAAAACGTCACTAATTGTAAGTTTTAGGGACAATTTATAAAAACTGTAACAAAAAAGTCACTAATTATCAATTTTTAACGATATATGTAAAAAATTGTCACAAAAAATTTATTTTCAACGACAATTTTATTAGGACTTAAAGCATCCTCAGTAGACCCCTAAATCATTCTCTTACCTACTTTAGAGGGTTAGAGCTTCCTTATACCACCCCCATCAACTCTCTTATAAGCCATTCCAAACTGTAGCTCACTTTTTTTTTTTTTTGCTTTGCTTTGCTTTGTTTAAAGAATGCAATACACATTTATGATTTTTATTTTTTTAAAATTTATAATTAAAAATTATATTTTAATAAAATAAAGAAAAAATAGGGAGTTTGTTAATAGAATAGAGAAAGAATAAGGAGTCTGTTGGGAGAACTAAATGAAAAAATAATTCTTAAAATAAGAAATGAATTTTTTAATAATATTTTATGATAAATTTTAAATAAACTGGTGGGATGCTCTAATACTAATTGGCATTATAAAAGTAAACAAATTCACCATTCGTAGTTCAAGTAATCATGAGGGGCATTTACGTGACAGTAAAATGAGATTTTATGTGATCATGAGGGGCATTTACGTGACAGTAAAATGAGATTTTATGTTCAAATTGTCGGTATATTGGAATGTTCTAACTTTACGAACTTATTCTGTGAAAAAAAAATGGAAGACCTACGTATAGGTCCTAATAAATAGACGTATTGTCTTTTGGATCTTATGATAATTAATGATTTTTTTATCAAATACTATTAAAAAAATGTCATTAATTACAAATTTGAGTGACGGTTTTAAAAAATATCACAAAAATTGTCACTAATTTTTAACTTTTAGCAGTTTAAAAAATTCATCACAAAAAAATGTCACTAATTGTAAATTTTAGCAATAATTTATAAAAACCATGATAAAAAAAAAGAAATTCAAAATTGTGAAACTTCTCAAAATTATGAAAATTGTGTGAGATATTTTATTTGTTTTAATTTTCAATTGACTATCGCAAACTAAGAAATTCTAGAATGATATTTTTCTTAATTTCATAGAAGTGAAATTTATAAAATTTAATTGAGAAATTTGTAGTTTTCTAAAATTCAGAAATTTGAATAAAGTTTCACAATTTCATTCCAAATTTTCCTTTTCAAGATGAAATTTCTTAGTTATTAGGATGAAATTTACAATCTGTTGGTAAGAATTTCTCATTTTCATTTATCGAATTTCCTAAGTTCGTATAAAATTTCCATGTTTCTAAAATCATAGAGAAAATTTTCAACTTCTTGATCTTTTTGCAAAAAAATCAATTCGATGAATTTCATAGTTTCATCCCAAAATTTATATGATAAAATTCACTATTTTTGGATTTTTATTTTATTTTATTTTATTTTATTGTGTTATTTACACTACACTATAAAAATGTATAAATGGACTCATTATTGAGAAGTATCACGTTATCCTCTAAACTATAAAAATGTACAGATGGACCCCTTAACTATAAAAACGTATAAATTGGACCCCCTAACGGAAGGGGTCAAATTGAAACACATCAAGAGTTTAGAAAGTCTATTTGTACGCTTTTATAGTTTAATGGACAAAGTGATACTTCTCAGTAGCTTATGAGTTACATTTGCATTTTTTTTCATTTAGGAGGTCAAAATAATATTTCTCAATAGTTTAGGGGCCTCTATGTAAATGATATATATTTTTTAATGTTTTATAATTTTCCCAAATTCAAATAAAACAAACTTATCAAACAGCGAACAAAAACAGTGAGTCAGTCCGACTCAAGATTAGTGGTTTGGCCCAATGCCATGGCCCATTAATTTTCTTTCCCATTTTCCACGGAAATTTGTTGTATGAAATGAATCCTCACTGCTCCTTTTTACTTTTGTGTGTATTTTATATTTTAATTGTCTACATGACCAAAAAAAATTTATTGAACAAAAATTTAAAGCTATTAAAAAAAATTAAACTAATTGCACCACAGTATTACTTGAGTAATATTGTTCTAGCATGTTTAATTACAAAATTGGGTAAAGAGCTTCAGTTTTATATTGAATTAAGCCTTCTACCTTCTTTTTCCCCTTTTTTTTTTATCATTTATAGATAAATACTTTTTATCGGAATTTTAACGCAATAATTAGTTCAAATTTTAGATATTTTAATTTTCGTGTGAAGTTAATGAACAATTGAAGAAAAATAGAATGATTCAAAATCTGAAGAACTTTAGAGAGAACCTAAGAAAGTTCAATTTGAGAATGAATAATGCTATATGTACTAATTAATGTAGTAACTAGTATACTAACACATGATGTGGCATAATTTTAGAGATTTTGAGTATTTTTAATTTGTATAATAGGTGGAGTCAATAATAATGGCATAACACTAGTTGGTACACTAGTGTGTATATTAATTGATACATGTAGCACCATTTTTTTATAATAATGAATTGGGTTGACAAGATTTAGTAAAGTGAAATTAATTATTTTTAGGCCTACCACTAATAAAAACAACTTTGTTGTTGGGTTTGATATTAAAAAAAATATTGTTTAGTTGGGTGTTGATATGCTAAAATTAAAATAATGGGGAGCCTCTACAGGAATTTTATTTACAGTAAAAAAATCATGAAGTGTTTTTAATTTTTCAATACATTTTGTTCAATTATTTAGAGTTTTATGTTACTCTCAGTATATCTTATAATTTTTTTTTAAAATACTTTTTAAGGTACACCCAAATAAGAACAAAATCACCATGCTCGGAGAGACAATGTCGAAGAATATTGTTTGGTTCAAACTTTCATATCCGAACATGTTGACTTTGCTCTGTAGTGTACTGCTGAACAAAGTGAATTTGTTCGAATCTGAAAGTCCAAACAATAATGATGTTAAATAGGCTGAATATTTGTTTTTACGTAAAAAAAAATACAAAAATAAAAAATAATACCTTGATATTTATGTGAATACTTATCTCCTCTTTGATAAGTTGTTTCAAAAAACAGTTTTTATTACTATTCTCGTCTATTGTTTGATTTTGTTCAAACTTTCTTCTATTTGCAAGAATAAGAAACAATGATATTGATTACAATGGTGAGTTTTGGTGGGGTGGTTTGAAATTTTGTAATGGGGAAGAAGAATAATAGAAGACAATTGAAACTTGGGAAAGGATATGAAGAATACATATATGTGATAAGGTTGTATCATGAGAAAAAAATAATATTTTGTTTTAAGATTTAATATGTATCGTCCTTATTAATAAATTTACATTAAAATATAATAAGAATTAACAATTTAAAATTTTAATTTAACGTACTTAATAATTTTTTTGAGTATAAATAGAATCTCCAACAATGATTGGTAGTCCAAATTTTCATAACCTGAATGGCTTAAATGTCTCAAAACGATGTCGTTTTGGGATAAAACAATATCATTTTGATACATTCGAGCCATTAGACCACACAAATTCGAGTTGTGAAACATTTTTCGAGAATCTCCCAACCTTTACTAATAAAAACAAATTTTTGGGTTTGGTGTTAAGAGTTGGACTTAATAATTTGCCCTATCCCACGTTCGTTTGTTTTGGGAGATAAAGGAAGGAATGGGATTGAGATAAAGGTGAGATCTATTAATATTATATTTGTTGTGGGAGATAGAGAGGGGATTCATAAGCCCTCCAGATTAGGATTAGGATGGGCCTTTGATATTATTATTTGTAACCAAAAAAATAAAATAAATAAGCCCTCCGGATTAGGATGGGCCTTAGATATTGGGATTGAGATGGAGGCCAAATTAGTATTAGAAAATTAGTCTTCCGACTTAGACATTAATGTTTAATGTTTTTGTATTTTTTGTTAAGTAAAAATCATTGTTTTATTTGTTTTATTATTTTATATTTCTTTTATATAAAAATAATTTAACAATTCTCACACTAATAACTATCATCAAAACAAATATAATTTTATTTAATCTCCTCACTATTAATCTATTCATTATCAATCCCCTCCATTATACTGGAAAAAAAACGAATGAAAACAAACGAAACAAAAGGAATTATGTTCAATCTAAGACACGACATCTCCCATTTTAGTATATATATATTTAGTCATATTATCTTTTATTTTTATATTTTTGAATCCTATTTTTTTTGGTTCAAATAGGTTGCTTTGTCCAGGGCGAGTTCTACTAGTCAAGAATTGTGTCCTACCCACCACGAGCCTGGTTAAATATTGAGTTTTTTTTTTTTTTTTTTTTTGGTAGGTTTTTGTTTCTTTCTATCAAAAGATAATATTTTTGTCCATTGGTATGAGATAATTCAAAAATATCATGAGATTTACATGGACTGAACAGTTAATTATATTATTATTAAAAGATAATACATCTTTTTTAAGGATTATTTTTTTTATATATCTTTTTATAAAAAATTAAAAAACATACTTATTTAACACTTCTCAAACAACTCTTAAATATTGAGTTACTCTCTATTTCATAAATGAAATAGAAATCTCTCCGTTTGTGTTATTTTTTCACAACATTAAAAAGGAGGGAAGTGTCATACCATTAGGTTGCCACATTCCTCCATCACTAATTTTTTATTTTATTATCTTAACGTTAACTTATCAAGATTATATTTCAACATTGATTATTAGTCGATTTTCTATAAAATAAATTCATAAACAATTAACTTGAAAGTATGTATAACATCTATCTATCTATATATTATATAAGGAAAATAGAATTTTTAGTGAGGAGTCTTGTGAGAATTTCAATATGTCATACTAATTTTTTTGATTTTTTTAATTTTAAACAATTTAGAAAATATCTGTTGATTAGTTTTTATTTGATAATCCCACATCGAAAAAAGAAAGAAAAAATGAGTTGTTTTACTCATATAAAGGGAATCTTGTACTCGCATCCCATTTATTGATGGGCCTTATGAGAGTTTAAATATCTCATACTAATTTTTTTGATTTTCTTAATTTTAAACAAATAAGAAAATCTCCATTGACTAGCTTTTATTTGATAATCTCATATCAGGAAAAGAAGAAAAATGAGTTATTTTACTCATAAAAATTGAATCTTATATTACCATTTTATTTAATATTGTAGTGTTGTACATGTTTCAATTCAATATAGTTTAAATTTTAAAAGTTTTAATTAATTAATTATGACATAGGCAATTAGGTTAAATCATTTTTGATTTGATTGATTTGTTAGTTTAACCATGATTTTAGTGGCTTTATAAAATATATTGATTAGATATGTTTGATTCGAAATAAACTAAAGATTGATCTCATTAAAGATGGAAAGATTGAGATTACTTGATTAGAAATAAACTTTCTGTCCAAATAATTGTTAACTTTTATTTTACAATCCTTATAGCGACCCCGGTCCTAAGTGTTGGCTTGGAAAGATGTAAGCCTGTAGGGCATTTTATTCGATGATACATGTTATGCTTTATTTTGTAATACTCTGATGAATGAATTAATAGATTATCTTCTTTAAATAATGAATGTCAATGATATATATAATGGGTTAATTTTTAGGGCGTTACAATCCTACATCGGAAAAAGAAAAAAAAATGAGTTGTTTTACTTATATAAAGTGAATCTTAATAATGTAGTATTGTGTATATTTTAATTCAAGACGGTTTAAATTTAAAATTAAAATAACATTTAAAAGTTTTAATTAATTATTTTTTGTATAAGTTGGTTGTTCATTAGACCTAACCGATTAGGTTGAATCATTTTGGGTTTGACCGAATCGCCGGTTTAATCGCAATTTTTCATACTGATTTTATTAATTTTAAACAATTAAAAAAATTTCTATTGGCTAACTCTCATTTAAAAATATAAAAATAAAACTCTAATTAGTTTATGATTTATTTTATAATTCCATATCGGGAGAAGAAGAAGAAAAAGCAAAGTTTATTTCACAATCTATCTATATATTATATAAGGAAAAGAAGGTTTTTAGAGATAAACATTCTAGGAAATCCAAACCCCTTATTTTAAGAAAATTCTCATTGGTTAACTTTCATTTACCATTTATTTTACAATCTCACACCAAAAAAAGAAAGAAAAAGTAAATTATTTCACTTACATAAAGTAAATCTTATGCTACCATTTATATAAGCAAATGAGATTTTTAGTGAAAAGCTCTATGATCAATATCTCATACTCATTTTTTTGATTTTCTTAATTTTAAACAATTAAGAAAATCCCCATTGATTAGCTTCTATTTAACTTTTATTTTACAATCCCACATAAACGTTTTGATTTTAAAAATAATTTTGTATGAGATTTTGAAACTCTCATAATATTTAATTTTAAAATGATTACAATCCCACATCGGGAATAGAAAGAAAAAGTGAATTGTTTGACTTGATATAAAGTGTTACAATCCCACATTAGGAAAAAAAAAGAAAAAGTGAGTTGTTTTTTACTTATATAAAGTGAATCTTATAAAGAGAGTTTTGAAGGAGAAGTCTTCTAGAAGCTCCAAACCTTTATTCTAAAATTATTGAATTTTCTTAATTTTAAACAATTAAGAAAATTCTCATTGGCTAACTTTCATTTACCTTTTATTTTACAATTCTAAATCGAGAAAAAAAAGGAAAAAAATAAATTATTTCATTTATATAAAGTGAATCTTGTGCTCTAATTTATACAAATTATTGAATTTTCTTAATTTTAAACAATTAAGAAAATCTTCATTGGTTAGTTTCTATTTAACTTTTATTTTACAACCTCATATCGAGAAAAGAAGTAAATATTAAATTATTTCACTTATATAAAGTGATTTTTATACTTCTATTTATATAAGCAAAAGAAGATTTTTAGTGAGAAACTCTATAATCAATACCAATTTTTTTTTTTTATTTTCTTAATTTTAAACAATTAAGAAAATTTTTATTGATTAGCATCCATTTAACTTTTATTTTACAATCCCACATAAACGTTTTGATATTAAAAATAATTTTGTATAAGATTCTGAAACTCTTATAAAATTAACTTTAAAATAATTATAATCTCACATGAGAAAAGAAAGAAAAAGTGAGTTGTTTCACTTATAAAAAGTGAATTTTATACTCTCATTTAATATTATAGTATTGTGCATATTTTAATTCAAGATGGTTTAAATTTTAAAATAAAATTTAAAGGCTTTAATTAATTAACGTTGTTATAAGTTAGTTGGTCTTTTGACTTAGTCAATTAGGCTAAACCGTTTTTGATTTAACTGATTTATTGGTTTAACCGTGGTTTTAACTGTTTTATCAAAATATATTACTTAGATTTGTTTGATTTGAAATAAATTAAGATTGATCTTATAAAAATTAAACGACTGAGATTGCATGATTAGAAATGAACTTCCTGTCCAAATAACTGGTAACTTTTACTTTACAATCCCATATCAAGAAAATGAGGAAAAAATGAGTTGTTTTACTATATAAACCTTATGCTCTCATATAATATTGTAGTGTTGTGTATGTTTCAATTCAAAACAATTTAAATTTTCAAATTAAAATAAAATTTAAAAATTTTAATTAATTAATTTTTGTATAAGTTGGTTGATTTTTTGACCTAGCCAATAGGGTGAATCGTTTTCGATTTGACTGATTTGATAGTTTAACTGTGATTTTATTAAAATATATTAATTAAATTTGTTTGATTCGAAATAAATTAAAAATTGACCTAATTAAAGATTAAACGGCTAAAATTGCTTGATTCGAAATAAATTTCTCGCCCAAACAATTGTTAACTTTTTGAACAATTAAGAAAATCCCCATTGGCTAACTTTCATTTAATTTTTATTTTATAATCCCACATCAAGAAAAGAAGGAAAAAATAAATTGTTTCACTTATATAAAGTGAATCTTATGTAAGTGAATTGTTTTACTTACATAAAATTTATTGCTTGATTCGAAATAAACTTCTCATCTGAACAATTGTTAACTTTTAAACAATTAAATCTTCATTGGCTAGCTTTTTACTACCATATCATCTATATAAGCTTCCATGGTTTTCCCAAGTTGATCCTTGAACATCTGAGTGATCATTCGCTGGTAGGTTGCCCTGGCGTTCTTGAGGCCGAACGGCATTACTTTGTAGCAATAAGTTCCCCTTGGAGTGATGAATGCTGTCTTTTCTTGGTCCGGACTGAACAGTGGTATCTGGTGATAGCCGCTATAAGCGTCCAGAAAGCTCATGCGCTCATGCCCTGCTTTTGAGTCTACCAACTGATCTATGCGAGGCAGCGGAAAGCTATCTTTAGGGCAGGCTTTGTTTAGGCAAGTGAAGTCAACACAAACTCTCCATTTTTCATTTTTCTTTTTGACTACAACTGTGTTGGACAGCCGTTGCGGTTACTGAAGTTCTTTGATTGCTCCTGATGCCAGGAGTTTTTTTACTTCGGCAATTACTGCTTCAGTGTGCTTAACTGAGGATCTTCGACTTTTCTGTACAACGGACCGAGCGGAAGGGTTGATGTTGAGCTTGTGGCAAGCAAATTCTGGGTCCAACCCGGGTGTATCATATGTTGACCATGAGAAGACTTCCATATTTTCCCTCAGCAGTTCCAGCAGCTGAAGTTTCTCATCAGTGCCTAGCGAGGTACCGATAAGGAAATACTTTTCTTGATCATCCTCTTTTACCAGGACTTTCTCCAAATCCTTTACTATCTTTTTCTCTGGGGCTCCCCCTACATCTTCCAAAACTGGCTGTTCGGCCACTTCCACTGCCTGTACCCGGTTACAGAGTTGCTTTGCCTTTAGTGCCGCCATAAAGCAATGTTTGGACGTAACTTGATCCCCTGAGATCTGCTCTACTTCGTATTCCGTTGGAAAACAGATGAGCTGGTGGTAGGTTGAAGGGACCGCCTCCATCTGATGAATCCATGGACTACCAAGTATGGCGTTGTAAGGGGATGGTGTATTAATAACTAAAAACTCTATCTGGAAGGTTTTTGTTCCTACCATAACTGGCAATACTATTCGGCCAAGCGGCCATTCTGGCTATGAATTGAAGCCAACTAAGGGGCTGCCGCTGGAGTGAGATGCTGCTCAGAGAGACCAAGCTTTCTGAACAAGTCATAATACAAAATGTCTGCTGCACTGCCTTGATCTACCAGGACTCATTTTACATCAAAGCGTTTCCCAATTCCCACAATTATAATTAATGCATCAGTATGTGGGTGTTGTATGCCTTCTAAATCTTTTCTAGTAAATGAAACAGTGCACAAGGGGGATTTGGGTACCGTGCATACCTTTTTCGATGCAAGCTCCACTGACATGACCTACTGAATTTGCACAGCCTTAGCAATCTCTTCTTTCAGTGTCTCCTCAGATTCTTGAGTTGTTGTTCCATAGATCACATTTATTATCAACCGAGGTGGGTGCTCAATATTCGGTTCTGGTGGTGGGTTCCTCAGTTCGGTCACTTCCTTATCCTGATCAATGTAATCCCGGAGGTGTCCAGCTGCTACTAGGTCCTCCAAGTGTTGCTTCAGTGCCCTGCAGTTCTGAGCCATGTGCCCCCTATCCTGATGATAGGTGCATCTGAGCTTCTGATTACGCCGAGCCGGATCTCCTAACATTTTTGGCAGCCAAACAAAGAAGGGCTCTCTCTTGATCTTTTCCAGGATTCGATAGATCGGCTCTTTGAATACAGTCACGATGGCTTCGTGGGATTTGGACTTATCCACTTCATTCACTGCGATCCCTCTGTGTTCTTCTCGATCTGTTCTCTTCTTGTGCCGAGTTGTTTGTTCTGCTGACACTACCTCGATGGGGATCTGATCATCTTCGAGGCGAGTGTATTGCTCAATCTTAGCACGCAAATCTTTTAATACTGTGGTTGGGCGCCTGGTAAGTGATTGTCTCAACTTACTTTCCGGGCCCAGACCATGTTTGAAAGACATAACAGCCATCTGCTCACTACACACATTTTCCTCCATGTCATTGTACTCTTCCCAGTACCCCCTAGCATAACTGCGCGGCGTTTCCTCCTGCTCCTTTTGGAGGTCGAACAGCGTATCCGGCTCCTTTGAGATCTTAGTACTGGAGACCAACCTGGCTAGGAACTCTTCGAAGAGCTGCTTCCAGCCATGAATCGATCCAGCGGGGAGTCGATCGAACCATCGAAGTCCAGTTTATCCCAAGCTGGATTGGAAGACTTTGCACATCAGTGCCTCATCTCGGCTCCATAGAGACATCATCTGTCTGTAATGGCTAATATGTGTTAGCGGGTCCGATTTCCCATCGTATGAAGTGAACTTTGGTGGGGTGAATTTCTTTGGAGGTCTCATGGCCTCAATTTTCGGGGAGAAGGGCGAGGAGACGAGCCTATCCAGCGTTCGGTGTTCTCTCTGGTGAACAGTGCGGTCCAGATGATCCCGATGTTGCTCGTTTTGCTTGTTGTCGATCAACCAAGTACAAAGGTCTTGGGGAGGGTATTCAGTCTGTTGGCTAACCGTCTTCTGCCTCTTAGCCCTTCTCCGGCGTGATCCGCGGGTGTGGCTGCTCGCCGCCTCACTCTGTACCGGGATGGGCTGGCTTTGTTGCCCAGACTTATTTCTGGAAAACTTTTTCACTGGTGATAGGAATAGCAACGGGGCGGGGTGGGGCCGGGGATCACACTCCCCGTCCCCGATCCCCGATTGTGAAAATCTCCCCAGCCCCGGCCCCGATCCTCGACGGGGAACCTACCACCATCCCCATCTCTGCCCCCTAACGGGGATCAAGTTTCTCCAACCCCGAAAATTCCCCGGCCCCCAAATCTGTTTCAACACCACCATCAACAACAACAACAACATCAACAGAATCATCTATATGAACATATCATTTTCAACATCATATCAACAAAATCATCAATAGATAATAAACCAAAAAAAAATAAAAATGAACAGACATGCATGTATACCTATACAAACAGATCTGAGATCTGTGTCACAGAGAGAGAGAGAGAGAGAGAGAGAGAGAGAGAGAGAGTGGAAGATCGGATAAAGATGGAGGACGATACACACATACAGATCTCAGATCGGAGGAGATCGGACGATACACACATACACACATATGGAGGAGATCGGAGGAGGCGATGGTGGACGAAGGAGGAGGAGGACGATCGGAGATTCTGAGGCGATGGATGGCTGTGACTGCGACGACGGAGGCCATGGACGACGGATGAGGCCGATCGGCGTTGCGAACAGTGCGAGAGTGAGTGAGAGAGTAGAACAGTGTGAGAGTGAGAGCTTGAGAGAGAATCAATCATGGCGGCAGAGAGACGAGGCGGAGAGACGAGAGACAGAGAAGCAGAGGAAGAATGAGAGAGAGAGAGAGAGATCTGAAATGAGAGAGAGGAGGTGGGGTGTGTGTGTTTTGGATTTTTTGATAATTAGGTTGGGTTGTTTTTTTTTTTTGGATTAAATTAGTTATAAAAAAAATTAATAAAATATAATATAATATTTAAATCATAATCTTTTTTTTCTCATAAATTTTTTAAAAAACAACTCAAACAAATTTTTTAATCTATACTAAAATAACCAAAAAAATCAAAAAACTTTAAAATCAATTCAACTTTCCAAACGAAGCAAGGGGTTTGGCGAGATTAGCTGTTGGGTCGATGACGGATGGTGAACCGGCAATACCTGGTGTTGACATGTGTTTTCGTGGAAAAGTAAAAAAAAATTCACTCACACATACTTATATTCCAATCTCAACATTATTTATATCGTGCCATCAGGCACAGGTATACACTGGTACTATTATAAAATTTAAAGGACAACTTAAATTTTTGAGTTATTACAATTAACGTAAACAGTAACATTTTACTGTCTATTATAAATAGGACATCAACAACAAAAATAGAGTACGACTCTCTCCACATATGAACTCATACCACTACTAGATAATTGAGATGTTGGAGACCAACTTCTGGTTGGTTGAATTGAAACTTTTGTAATTGAATGGTTTATTGCTAAATTTCCTTTCTTCAACTGTTGAGCATAAATCTTAGAGGTGGGTCTGGGAGAGGTTATGTGTCCATCTTTACTTTTAATATTTTATTTATTTATTTATTTGTTTTGAAGTAGTGAGTTCTTAAGATTGAATAAATTATTGTTTATCTTGCTAAAACAAATTCATTAGTTTACTTGTTTTGAATATTGTGATGAATTGGTTGCAAAATTGAAATGGGTAATGAATGGATGAATCGATAACTTAGTTAAATACTTTAAAGAATTTTTTAAATTCAACATGTCATCCAAGCAATTTAGAAGTATGCCATAATGCTCCCTGTATTTTTCTTATTCTTTAAAATGACTTCTCCAATCTCTAATTCTGGGATTTCACGAAGAAGCATAGCAAGATTCAAATCTCAACAATCAATAATTGTTTCTGTTATGTAGGACAAGATTATCCAAAAAAGGGGGAAAAAACAATTAGTTTGTCCTTGTTAAAAGAACATGTTTCCCACTTCTAGGAAGTAAAATATTTTAGACTATCATTTACACACTAATATGTTGGGCCTAGAGGGTTTTAGTTAAATTTCCATAACACGTAATTATATTATTATCAATAATTCGTTAATTACATAGGTACGAAATGGTATCTTGAGATGTTTATTTTTTATATTTGTATTTTTCACACTATTTGTATCATTTCAACTTTATTAAAGAAAGGTCAATGTAATTATTTCAGAAAACTATGAATTTGTTATATATCTCTAAATCTTAAGAAATGTTAGTAATTGTATAAAACACAATTATTATATGTGCAAATTATTGTGAAATTACTATAAATGTGATTTTGACACCGTGAGTTACATATAGTACCATTTTATGGCACATATTAGATTAAAAATATGATATTTTTTCCCCACACCGTGTACCATTGAATGTAGGGTTAAGATATAATGAGTCGGACCTGTACATGCATACCGCACCTGGGACCCGTACCCGAGTCCGTGTCACCGCCACCCACCTGCCACCACCACCACCACCCACTCGTTACCACCCACCACCCGCCACTGTCACCCACCCATCCACCCACCATCACCACTCGCCACCACCTACCACCTACCACCACCCGCCATCCGCCACCCACCTGCCACCACCACCCACTTGCTACCACCCACCACCCGTCACCGTTACCCATCCACTCACCACCACCACCCGTCACCTACCCGCTACCACCACCCACCACCCGCCACCACCACCACCACCCACTCGCTACCACCTGCCACCATCACCCACCCACCACCACCACCACCACCCACCACTCACCGTCACCACTTTCCACCACCGTCTTCCGCTGCCACTTGCCACCACTCGCCATTTCTCACTCTTTTTTATATTTTAAATTTTTTTTAAACATTTTGTCAATTACCAAATGCGTTTGTAGTTTATGTTTTTCAAAAAATAAACAAAAACTAGTTTATAAAATTTTTGTAAATATAAACTGAAAACGTAAACGTTACCAAACACACCAAGAAATTATTTGACAAAAGGTATAACCTTTTCAAATATGGTGTATGTTTGTCCGTAGAAGGTGTAAATGACCATAGAAAAGATGTAAGTTTTGTTTTTCACTAAAGGTGTAACTTGAAATAATAAGTGTAAATTTTACGAAAAAGGTTTTTCCACAAAATGTGTCATTTTTCAAGAAGTTGTAAATATTTCCGAGAGGAGGTGTAAATTTTTAGGAAAGGTGTAAACTTTAGGAATAGTTGTAAACTTTGTGATTTTTTACAAAAGGTACAAGTTCCCAAATAAGAGCAACCATCGAAGCTGAATGTTTCGTTTTTACAAAAGATATAAGTTCCCAAAGAAGACCAATCCGAATTAAAGCTGAATGTTTCGTTTTTGGAAAAGATCCAAGGTGTAACTTTTACTAAGAAAATTAATGTAATGTAAAGATATAAAGTTCCAAGGTGTAACTTTTATGAAGAAAATTAATTTATAAATGATGTCAGTTTTCATTAAAAGGTGTAGGTTGTCAGAACAAGTATAAAACTTTAAAAATTGCCGAAGTGTTCAGAAGAGGTGTAAGTTCCGTCGGCCCGTCCGTCTCTCTTCCATCTCGGACCTCTCTCTTTGTTTGTCTTTCTGTCTGCCCGTCTCTCCGTTGTTCCATTTCCCCGTAGCTGTAGGGTTTTACAGAGAACAATATTTGAGTGCTGAGCTTAAGTTCTTGGGAAGGCTAGCCATGGAAGTGGATGCGTAAATACTTTTTTTGAGTTGATTTTTGTCGGTGGAGCACAACCGCAAGGGTTAATCGAGCACCACCGTCGGTTCGTCTGATCCGGTTGGTATTTCCTTTATTTCGTGCTGGTACATTATCTGTCTCCTTGTTTGTCTTCTATCATTCGCATATACCTTCACACCCAACCCGAAATCGACCCAATAGGAACTGTTCTGTACTCGATTTTTTGTATTTTCTCCCTTCCGAATAGGAAGTCTTCCCTCTGCTATCAGTGCTGCAAGTTGAACATAGGTATGATAGTAGTTAGCAACAAGAATAAAAGGTGTTCTGCATTTACATGGCGAACTTGTTATGTTGGGTTATATATAACGAAAGAAGACTTTAAAAGAAATTTGTGTAATGTTGGCACGGGAAAAACAAATTTTTTTTTTCTTTTCGAGTAGCCAAAAAAGCAAAAATAAGAAACTCGATAAACAAACAATGACTAATCTTGTTTCCGCAACAGGTAGCACACTCGGTTGAATTGTGCTTTAAATTTTGTTGTACTCGGTGATTTTATATTGCCGGAACTTATGTTTAGAAACAATCTGTGGTACACGGACTCTTCAAAATAGATCAAATACCTGTGTCGGACACCTGAGAGTCGGACAAGGGTATGGGATATGTGTCGGATACTTTTCAACGGACACTTCTTATATAATTGTATAAAACACAATTATTATATGTGCAAATTATTGTGAAATTACTATAAATGTGA